TCTTCCTCCTCTTCCTCCTCTTCCTCCTCTTCCTCCTCTTCCTCCTCCTCCTCCTCCTCCTCCTCCTTCTCCTCCTCTTCCTCCTTCTCCTCCTCCTTCTTCTCCTCTTCCTCCTTCTCCTCCTCCTCCTCCTTCTTTTTGGTTTTTTGAGACAGGATTTCTCTGTGGCTTTGGAGCCTGTCCCGGAGCTAGCTCTTGTAGACCAGGCTGACCTCAAACTCACAGAAATCCTCCTGCCTCTGCCTCCCGAGTGCTGGGATTAAAGGCATGCACTACCACCGCCCAGATCTTAGGAGCAATTCAAACAAGAAGTGGTTTGATGTCCCCGTAATGTCATGCCACAATTGCCTTGTGAGCCCATGTTGTCAGGGCACATCAGTATTGTAACTGATGGGGTCCACTGATGACTCCCCCAGCCACATAGTACCTGGCCTTAAACTCTCAGTCCTTCTGAATGCTGGGGTTATAGGCATGGGCCACCACGCTCAGGCGTCTTTCCTTTTTACAGATTACAGGTGTTAGTTTATTAGATGCGAACTGAGGCTGTTCACTTCTTTTTGGTGTAGATTTTGTCTTCTTGTGAAGCCATATCACGTATATCCTTATACATATATTATTTTAAAAATATTAACTCTTGCTGAACTCTTCTAAAAACATTCTGCACGTATACTTTCATTGTTTTAAGAAGCATCTACTGAATATAGAGCATCCTCGACGGGAGTAGACTTCTCTCTGGGTGGTTCCTAGTGTCGAGGAGCCGATCTGCCGTACCCCTGTCATCACTTGGTGACGACTCAGTGCAGGACTACACATGGATGCATTTTAGAGCTGTCTTTGTTGCAAAACATCATGTTTACAGCAATATTAGCTATGGGTTTTATTGAGTATGATTTATTGATTTACAAGATAAACATAGCTTTAAAAGATTAAATTTGTTTTTAAACTGAAATATAAAACACGAACATGTATATGGATTGCCATGTGATGTTTTGATTAATGTGTACATTGTTCAATGTTAAATCAGGTCTAACAAATCAATCTCCCAAATTTGTCATTTTTAATATTTATTTTTATTGTATGTGCCTGGATATTTTGTCTGAATGTGCATCCATATACCACATGTGTGTCTGTGTGCCTGTGGAGGTCTGAAGAGGCCATCGTCCCCTGTAGGTAGAGCCCAATGACTGTGAGTCACCATGTGGGTGTCGGGAACCTGACTCTACCTGCTGAGCCATCTCTCATTTCTGTGTGGAGAGCATTCAGAACTTGTGCAGCCTTTTGTGTAGATAGTATGCTACTGCATACCAGTGCCCACCGGCCACTCCTCCACTGCTCCTAAAGTTCCCTTGCTGATGCATGCTTTGGAATCTCTGAGTAGTTCATATCACTTGGTCAGTGATTGGATAAAACCTATAAAATACTAACTACAGTGATGGTAAGCAAGCCAGCCACAAAACAAAACTAAGAAGTTAGACATCTTGGTTTGCTGTAAAGCAGTTGCTTCATTTTCGCCGATGTGAAGAAGGTGGTGGGCACAGTGGTTTTTAACAGCACCATCTCTGCTGGCCTTTGCTCTGCAGGTGGACTGGACTCTGAACATTGGAGAGCAGGCTCTCGACATCTGTATCGTTTCCTTTAACCAGTCTGCGTCCTCTGTTTTCGTGCTTGGTGAAAGGAACTTCTTTTGCCTGAAGGATAATGGGCAGATTCGATTCATGAAGAAGCTCGACTGCAGCCCCAGCTGTTTTCTCCCGTACTGCTCAGGTGAGTGCGAAGACTCTTGTTATCCTTTCTGACTCTGCCTTATACATACCTGCACACATCAGAGAACGCCACACTCAGACACCCATTTCAAACGTCTGGGAAAACGGCTTTCACTGAGCCTTTCACATCCACTGTTCTGTAGACGTTTGCTATAAAGCACATGTGGTCTTGCCAGCCCTTGACTCTGTACGGTCTCTGTAGACAGGCTTCCAGCTCATTACTGCTTTCCACAATGCAACTATTTAAGAATCGTTCCGTGAGAATATCACTCTTTTATAAGCAGAGCAATGTTGTCTAATAGAATGGCTTGCAGTGACTTCCTGTCAGTCATTAGTTTAGATGTGTGATATGTTAATAGAATTCATACCTTCTAGATGAAATGCAAACACCTTGGCTGATATCTATACTTCTGTCTTTGAAATGATTTATTTCTTTTTTGCCAAGCTAAATATCTTATCACCTAAAATTTTTATGTGTTAAAACCAAGATAATACAATTATTGTATGATACCGAAGAGACCCCAGTGTACCACCCTTTTGAACGGCCCTTTTCGTAACTTTCTTTCTGTATCTTCGACCTGCAGTTTCTGAAGGCACAGTAAATACCCTGATTGGGAACCACGATCACATGCTGCATGTTTACCAGGATGTGACGCTGAAGTGGGCCACACAGCTCCCCCACGTTCCTGTAGCCGTCAGGGTGGGCTGTTTGCAGTAAGTGATTCAATTTAATTGTATGAAAGGATTTTTGTTTAGTCTCATTTTTTAGCCCTGGCTGGCTTTGAACTCATGGCGCTTTTCCTTCAGCCACTGCACCACTAAATACCTTAGTTGAGGAGTTCTGTAGAATGTGGTTTCACTGAAGTGTTGGAGTGTGACTGTTAATAGTAGAAGTTTTTTTTCTTGGAAAAGTATATAAAAATTCCTTAATTAGCACCGCTAATTATTTTCACTTGATATTTTAAGAAGTTACTCCTTTAGAATTAAAGGTGAGTCCTGTTGAACACGATGGGGAGATGCTTTTCCTGGTGGCTTACTTTCTTCAACATGAAAACCAGTGTCTTCCAGGGTTTGCTGGGCTGAGTGTGAGCCACACTTGCTTGTAATGCAGACTTTGCTTCAGTTTTGCTCGTTTCAGGTGATGCCAAGTTGCTTTATGTTTGTGTGCTTAAACAGTTTAGAGTTTACGGCAATTTTTCACTTAAAATGAAAGAAAAATAAAATTAATATCAATATTAAACTCATGACACAGTTTGCCAGTGAGTAGGTTGTTAGCATAAGAATTGAAATCCTGAAGTCCTCAAGCAGCTTGGATCATGTGTCAGGTCTGAGGAGCTCAACTGGAGCCTCGAGACGGCTTCTCGAAAGTCTCCACGGAGCCTCAGACCCCTGTCATCTGCTCAGTAGAACGTTTACTGTGGAAGTTCCCAGTGATGCCCGTAGTGTCCCATGACGATGATTTCTTCCCCGAATGAGGAGCTGGATGTTCATGGTTGGAAACAATGAGGGGCACTTATGGTTGTATCAACGATTAAGCTGTGGTACGCTTAATCCACACATTCCAGAACTGAAACCTATGTCTTGAATATTAGTATTGCATTATTTTATGCATATTGGTCTTCTGCCCCCATGTGTGTCTATATCATGTGTGCGCCTGGTATCCAGAGAGCCTAGAAAAGGTTGTTGGATCCCCTAGAACTGGAATTACTGTTGTTGTGAGCAACCATGTGGGTGCTACGGATCAAACTCAGGTCCTCTGTTAAGAAGTCAGTGTTCTTAACTGCTGAGCCATCTCTAGCCCCAACACAGATCTTAGCCATTTATCTCTCTCTCATCTATCTATCTATCTATCTATCTATCTATCTATCTATCTATCTATCTTTTAAAACTATGTCCCCCCTGGAGTAGGAATCATAGAGGACAGCGGACATCTGGGGCCCCTAACCTGGTCCTCTGGTCCTCTGCGGAGTTTATCATCTCTTCAGCTTCAGATGGAATGTTTTTATTGCCAACTTCAGATCATTTTACTGGTTTTGAGGCTCCCTGGAACTCACAAGTCATCCACATGCCTCTGCCTCCTGAGTACTGAGTACTGAGTACTGATATGAGCTCATTGGAGATACTCACCTCTGACACGTCAGTGGGTTCACACAGGTGCTACCTGCATTCCCAAACTTGAAACACGATCAAATTCTTCGCAGTTTGCTGCATCCACGTCTGCAGGAGTGTTGTGTTCACTGAGTGAGGGTTGTGTTCAAAGAATGTTACTTTTAAATATTAGAATATTGTTAACCAAGTTAAAGACTCTTTCAGTGTTCAAACTTTAAATATTATCAAGTCTCAGAAAAAGCTGATTTCTTGTATTTTAGGAGAAAGGACAGTCATTTATTTGTGATTGCAATGCATTTAACAATAATCATAGTTTTTTTTATTATTGAAAGAATAAAGTATTTGAAATTGGTTTTTGCAATGTCCACCAGATTTTGTTTTTAAGTTCATCCAACCAGACTCTCCAGACATTTTGCATCAAATTTAGTTAGAAGAATTTAGATCTGGAAAAACATCTTGCCAGCAGGGAAGTGTCAGCGGCGTCTCTTCCTGGAGACTAATTCTTACAGCACTCCATAACTCATTCAAGAGCTCTTTGTTCTCTTGGTCCCACAAGTGACCACTAGGTAGAGAAAGGTAGATAAAGTGTGGTGAGTTTGTGGCCCACCTTGGCTCTCCAGGAGGGGAATGTAACTTTATTTTAATTTTAATATTTTATTTATTTATTTTTTGTGGTTTTAGAGATTAAATCTAGAGCCTTGTATATATTAGGCAGTCATTCTGCCTCTGAGCTATACACCAGGCTAGGAGCCAATATCTTCATTTACTAAAAAAGTTACTGTAATATATACATATATTTGAACATAGGAGTTTGGTGGAAAGAGAAGTTACAGGTAGTTTACAACATGTACAACACTTTCAGAAGTTACCTTTCTCCAGGAAATGCATATATTTTAGGTACCTATACTTCAGAAAGAAGCCTCTATTTCTTGTAGCTTTTTAAAGATTATAATTCTAAGTAAAAAATAAAAGTAGTGCCACTAGTGTTTTATAATTTATACATAAATTCTAATCATGAAGTTGGAGATTTTTAAAAATGTATCAAAATAAATTTTTTAAATTAAAAAATGTATACCTTTATAGGATAAAGGCAGATTATGCCTGAAAGAATTTAATGACTTTTGCTTTTAGTAATTATGGGAAGGGCTGGCACAAGCAAATCCATCTTGTTGTTTTGTGATGATGCATAGGCTGGTGTCAAACTTCTCCCATCTCAGCTTCCCCAGTGCTGGGATTACAGGCAAGCAACACCATGCCCAGGATGCATTTCTGTCAGGGCTGACAGCTTCCTGCCTTTTCTGAACCGTGTTATTGGATGCATTGTTCAGGAACCTTTTCTGATTCATTCTCGATTGACCCACGATGACGGGCATTTTAGCTATTTTTCTATCGCTGTAATAAGACCAAGGCAACTTATAAAAGAAAACATTTATTTGGGGCTTTTAGTTTCAGAGGGTTAGAGGTCATGACCATCATGGCAGGGATCATGGCTGCAGGCAGGCATATAGGCATATGCTGGGAACAGCTGCTGAGAGCTTACATCTTGATCCACAAGTGTGGGGCAAGACAGAGAGCTAACTGGGAAGGGTAGCAGGCTTTTCTTTTAGGCCACCAGGCCAGCTCCCAAATCCTGACATGGAGACTTATTATTTGTTTGGAATGCTCTGTCTAGCTTAGGCTCCTTTCTGGCTCGTTCTTTTAACTTAAATTAACCAGTTTCTCTTTATCTATCTTTTGCCTTGGGGCTTTAAGCTTTCTTTCTGTATATCTTACTTTTACTGCTACTCACTCTGCTGGCTAGCAGCTGCGTGACTGACCCCAGGCATCTTCCTTGTTCTCTCCTCTCTTCTTTTCCTCTCTTGTTCTTTTTTCTCTTTTCTCTCTCTTGCCAGGGAGCCCTGCCTATCCCTCTCCCTAGCTATTGGCTGTTCAGCTTTTTATTAGACCAATCAGGTGCCTTAGGCAGGCAAGGTGAAACAAAGGCAACACATTTTTTTCATAATTAAACAAAGCATAAATAAAAGTAACACACCTTTACACAGTTAAAGTAATATTCCACAGCACAAACAAATGTAACACATCTTTGCCCAGTTAAAAATGTATTTCACAACCAAATAGCATGGTTCTTTGAGATCTCAGAGTCTGCCTCAGTGACTCACTCACTTCCTTCCACAAGGCCACACTTCCTTCCTGAATAGCTATTCCTTCCTGAATAGCTCCATCAACTGTAGTCCAAGTATTCAACTATATGAATCTATCTGGGACATCTTCATTCAAACTGCCGCCCCAGGAAATGATTCATCCTGATTGGTGTGGTTTGATACCGCATTAGTGGTGGGGATAAGTCACAGATGTCATGAGTTAGTGACAAAAAAAAAACCCCTTTGGCCCAGTTCAGGCAACTGAGGTACAAAAGAGGCCCAAGTCATCCATTCTGCATGCGTTGCGGGTGATGCACTAACATCTCAGATACATTGTTCATTTTCTTTGCCAGAAACTATACTTACACAAGGAAACCCCTTACAGAGACAAGAGTTCTCTGAAGGCTGGTAGCTTCCATTTTGAGTAGGTATAAGCTAGTTTAAGGAGCTAGTACTTAGAGGGACAATCTTTATATGAACCTTGACCTTAGAACCATTTCCCAAGTGTCTAAAAGTATGCATGGCTGTCTAGTTCTAACTATGTTCTAGCCTTGGGCTCTGTTAGCATCTTGATTATTACATTCATTTCAGAATATTTTGCCCCAAGATTGAGGTCTTAAACAGTGTGGGGGAATTGCTATAGGCCAGGCAGAAATGAAGATATTTTAAAGGGACATTTTTATCTCTCAGTCTGAGTACCAGACTGTTTGAAGAAGGGACCACAGAGAGGTGGGAGTTCCCCCAGGAATCTCTTGCTGGGAGAACCTGTCTCCAGGATAGAGATTTCACAGTTCTAACAACTTGTCAGGCCACCTTAAAGCCTGGGAAGGAAGCTGGTCAATGATGTGGGCAGGGACTGCTTAAAGATTCAAATCCTTGGCTTTCTGTTTAAACCGTAGTCTCACTTCAGGCCCCTTGTGGATCCCCTTGTCTCACTTCCCAGTGTAGCCACATCAAAACATATTTCATTTTTCTCCATTATTAAAAGTTTTCATTGTAGTTTTATTAGAACTTTAAAAGTAATTTTTAGTAGCTTAGCATAACATTCTTATGTTAAGCAGTTGTGGTATTGGCATAAAAGCAGACATGTAGACAAATGGAACAGAACCAAGATCCAAACATGAATACGTGTAACTTCAGCCATCTACTATTTGACAGAGATGCCAAAAATATACTAGAGGAGAGAATGCATCTTCAACACATGGTACTGGGAAACTAGTTGTCCACATGTCAAGGAATGAAGTTAGACCCATATCTATCTCCTGCACAAAACTAACTCCAAATGGACCAAAGACCAAATGGACTAAATGTGAAACATGAAACACTGGACCTGCCAGAAGAGAACCTAGGCAGTACCTACAGGATATAGGTGCAGGACAGGGCTTTCTGAGTAGGATTCCATTTACCCAAGAAATGAGACCTCATTAAACTGTAACGCCTCTGCACAGCTAAAGAAACAGTCGA